GCTGGGGCGGCCGATTCTTCTACAATTTGAAGTCCGTGCCCCCCTCTCCCGCTCGGCTCACTTCTCGGTCGTCCCGACACATGTCCCATGTATTGTCACATCTGTACTACGGTACTTTGCTGAAGTAACCCATCGTTCCCCCTTCGAAGCGTATGCGAGGTAGAGCACAATGTGAATCACGGTATAGGGTAGGGCCGATGAGGAGCACACTGGCGGGCTTTCTGACAATTATAATTTTGTCCTTCGGTACCCTGCTGTAGTGGACCTGACGGCACTCAAAAAAATGCTTCCCATTGCGACGGCGATGCAGGCGCTCTGTTGCGCACGCACTGTCTCTCATGGGTTGCACTCCGAGAGAACTCGCCAATGCTCCTCCTGACTGTATGCGGGCACGCCCAGCTCGCAGCTCGCCTAGAGTAGCACTCCGAGAAACCTCGCTAATGCTTCCTCTTGGCGAATCAGCAGACTCCAGCGGGTGAACTCACTGGCGACCGCTGGATGAGCTGGCCGCAGTCGTCTCCCCCGGATTGGGGTCGCCGAAATTTTCCGCGAAGATCTCGGTGCCATCCAGCATGGACTGGGTGCTGCCCCGTAGCTTCTGGCACCCCTTCAGCCTCTTCACTTCCCCATGGGTCCGCGTTGTCCTCGCTGTTCAGCTCCTTGATGGCAACCTTCACTACCTCGTGGAGGTTCCCCTCGCCGTTCTTCGCGATCTTCAGCGTCGGCTCACACCAGCGCTGCACAGTGAAGGCCCTCCTCCCTGACCCCCCCCCCCCCCCAATTGTCCACCGAGGACCTTGCGACGAGGTCGCCACCTTCGATATTGCGCGCCGTCGGGAAGGATACTGGGACCAGCTCGAATAGCTCCTCTGGGCTCATCTTCTGAGCCGCGTCGAAGAACTGGCAGTGGCGCTCCTCGATGGCGTCGCCCAGTTGCTGCGGAGGCACTCCCTCAGCAAACGCTTGCCACGCGGCCCCCACCTTGAGCTCCACCGTCGATGGCCCACTCTTGAACGGGGGGAACTTGGACCCGCACCCGATATTTGGCCATTTCTCGCTGTCTGCTCCAAACGTTTTCTTTATCTTGCCCGCCCATCCACACGCGCCAGCAAAGTCCGCCGCGCACCAAAACTGCCACTCGGCACTTCTCGAGTTGGGACCGGGGCTTCTCCACCACAGTTTGTTCGGGAAAGCGAGCCCACGCGAGCGCCCCCCCCCCCCCTCTTTCCGCCCCATCCAGCGCCCCTCCTGCATACATTGAAAGCGCCTCGAGAACTCTGGCAACTCCTAACCCGTGTCCTTCGCTGTCTTGCAGTCGCCCATCTCGTGCAACTCTTTCTCTTTCTCCCCCGGCTTTTGTTTTGCCACCTTCAGCGCATCTTCGCCAGTGGCGCCCATGGTCATGCACTTGTTGCGCATGGTGTCACATTCTCTGCGCAGCGAAGAGCCTCTGTCATTATATCCCCCCTTCTTTGCTAAAGGCTGCAAATATACCTCGATTCATTATGATGCCCTCCAGCAGCGCCTTTGCCATCCCCTTCGGCTTCCCCATGGCAATGTTGCTCATTTGTGTGAAACGTTTTAGTTGGCCCCCTTCTTCTGCCAGTTGCACTCGAGCAGCTTTGATGCGCCCTGGCGCCTGGGCCGTCCGCACAGCCCCTGGCGCCTTCCTCTTCTTATCTCGGCAGACCTGCCCCCTCGAAATACACGCTTCTTCCCCATGCAGCATCCTTTCCCCATCGCCACAATCTGCCCACTCCTCCCCCCTCAGCTCCAGCTCGCAATCGGTGCACACTCTGTCCCATTCGCTGCCTTTGCCACCTTGACCCGCCACGTGACCTGGCTCGTTTCTAGCGTGCTCTCTGCGGCCATCGATCATCTCGAAGCACTGGAACCCCTCGCCGCAGCGCGACCCGTCTACATTGCGCGCATGCTGTACTTCACGCGAAATACCCCAGCCGCCATGTCTCTCCGCATCTGCAATGGAAAAGAGGGAGGGGGAAACGCATCGCGTCGTCGTTGTAGATGACGCCTTTTACTGACTGGGATGGGTTGGCTGGTTGTTGCCAGGCAGGCCGTTCCCCCGGGCGTTTCTCCGTAGCTCAGCTTCCCGTTCTGCTCGGAACTCCAGCGCCATTTCGTAGCTCCTACTAGGCGAAACGTCTGGGTTTGGTGAGGCGCTCTAAATCCATGCTGATCGATTCTGTTATTCTTTCATCATATGAAAAGTATATGTCCATCTTCGCCGGCGCACTGCTGGGCGCGTCAACTATGCCCAACTGCCCCAGGGAGGGGGGGGGGGGGGCCTGAGGCGGCACCCTCACTGCATGATCCCGACGCCGCTGGTGGCGCGGTGCACGCGCTTGTCCGCATCAGCCGCGGCCTGGCACTCTGCCGCTGGGTTGTTGCACTCCGGGAAGACCTCGCTAATGCAACTACCCCTTCTGACCTCTGTGGTGCAGCACCCCGAGAAAACCTCGCCAATGTCGCCACTTTCGTTCTCTCTCTCCGGCGCCGAAGCTGAAGTTCCCGCTCCACCATCCTCTCCAGCTCCGACTTGAGCGCCGCCGACTGGGACTTCTCGCCTCCCACGTAGACGAGCAGCATCCCCATCGCCACCCTCAGGTCGCGGCCAGAGAACTGGCCCGGCGTAGCCATAGCGTCTCCCATCGCGTCCTTCGCGGGCACCGCTCTGGAGTTGGGGGACTCGTCGATGCCGATCTGGACCATGCCCAAGCCCTCCTCCCAAAACTCCTGCTTGTCCTCGTTCGGGTTCCTGTCCTTGCTGTTGCGCGGCCTGTAGCTCTCACCTTGCACATATTGATCGCATATGTGACCGTCGCCTGGTTGTCGCTGTTTTCCCCCGTCAGCTTCGGGAAATCGTTCAGAGCGCAACTTGCTCGATCTATTGATACTGGCACTGTCGTTTCACCTTCCTCCTGCCAATCCGACACCAACTCCTGGGCGCCTTCCATGAGAGCCACCCCCGCGCGCATGCCTGGCGGCCCCAACTTGCGCCCCTTGCCCTTCTCCCTGACCTGGTTCCCGCGGTTCTGCCCCGCTGCCATCGCCTTCCGAAACGCCCACTTGCTGACTGGCACGAGAAAGAAGTCCGAGGCCATGTGGCTCAGATCTCTGATCTCTGCTGCCAAGCGGAGGGCCAATCTCTGAAGTCCGTTGATACACCCGCTTAGGTCGAACTCCTCGTAGTCGTCCGCTGCGCATGACTGGCGGGGGGGCGGTCTGCGCCCTCCTCCTCCGCCTTTGCCGTTCCCCCCCGTCGCCGCGGCCGCGGCCGCCGGCGGGCCGCCCGCCGCCTTGGCGCCGGCCCCTCCTGCGCGCCACTGGTCCTTTCCGTGCCCCTTGCCGCCAATGTGGTGCGTCGACTCTCCTTCCATCTCCGCGCTTGCTCCTCGGTCGGGCTGCTGTAATCTCCACGGCGCCGCTGCCGCCCTCCGCGCAGCACGGCCCAGGACGGCGGCAGCGCACGCGCACCTGAAAACCTCCCAAAGATTGAACCTGAGAGCCACAGAGGATACAGACGAGGGAAGGGGGCCCACGGACTGGGCGATTCCAGCAGCATCTGTTTCTGCAGCATATCCCGCGACTCTCCGTTGCCCCCATCACACGGCAAGTCGATATTTTCTCGAAGCGAGCGAGCTCATGCACCAGGGACATTGAATCGTGACTACCATGCTCTGGATCAGAGGAAGATTGTCGCGCACCACTCTCCGGTGCCCTGCCAGCGCCGCCCCCGCAGCAAACTGCGCCCCGCGCACCTGCCCCTCTGCCCCAGTTTCCGAATCACACCAAAACTGAACCACCACCTCTCACCCCACCGCAATCCCTGGTAGCGTCGCGCCCCGCGCCTCTCCAACGCGGCGTAGGACACGGGGCCCCGCCCCAAGACAAGCCCCCCAATCCCTCGCGCCTTTCTTGAACATTGAGACGCCTGGCCCACCATTCGGGCACCAGCTCCAGACGCCCTCGCCGACGCCCGCCAGCGCCTGAGAGTAAGACCACCTGCGTCGCCCAAGGCGTAGATGCTTCGCAAGCCCGCCCATTTTCCAATCTCCTGATCTGGCACGGGCCGCCCCGCTTCGGCGCGCCCAAAAACGCCGCCAGCACGCTGCCAAAATCCCCCGGATATTTCGACCATCGTCTGCGCCACCGTAGCCAGCGCACCCCTGGCGCTGTCGAGCAGCGCGGCATCCCCCATGTTATGATAACCTCCTTGTTGGCATAGCACGAGGTCGCGCCACCTGCTTCTGCCCAGCTCACCCTGCCTGTCTCCTGCCATCTTTCTCAAAAGTGATGCCATTGTACTGACGAATGCTTTCAAGTGGCGCCCTTCCAGCACAAACGCCGTCAAACCGCTCAGGCCAGCCCCCGAAACAAGCGCCTGGAACATCTCCTGTCTTGCTTCGTCTGTCGTATCTAATGGCCAGAAGCAACCGCGCCGTCTGCATGCAAACTGCATGGCCTCGCGCCTCCTCTTCATCTCTCCTGCATAACCTTGATCTCCTGGTAGGTAAGGCCCCAGCACTTTCATCCCCAATCATCGGCGCGCCCTCGGCATTCCCCCCTGCCTCGCGGCCCCATCCTGCCCTGGCCCCCGACCGGCCACCAGGTGGTTAGTCCACGCTGGGTTCAGGCTCCACCCTCCCCTTC